TCTTGGTGGTGTCCCCACTCCTATGCCTGGTGCTTTGCGTCTGTATCATGTCTGTGGTCCTTCAGCCTGGATAGCCCTGCCTGGACCAGCAGGGAGGAAAATGAGGAGGTCTGTGTTCCCTCGAGGGGCGTGTAACTAGCCATAAGGTTCAGGCTCCTCATATTCCCAGGATGTGAACTTGGACATCATAATGTGAAGTAGTAGAGAAAACAGTGTCCTGGTGTGACTTTCTTCTTAGCTATGTGAGCTTGGACAGTTTGTGAACCTAAGATTTAGTTTGCATATTTGTAAAACGGAGGTGGGAGAGTAGCCATGGCTTGCAGGATTAATAATGTAATACTGCTTACCAAGAACTGAACAAAATCCTGTGTGCAAAAGTACTCTGAAAACTGCAGAGTACTTTACAAATGAATATTCATCCTGGGTTTACCCTCGATCATAAGGGTAAACTGTCAGGGATGGGGATAGGGTGGGGTCTGAGGGCCATAGGGAGTAGGGAATGTTTTGGGACCTTTTCTTTCTTGCTAAGAAAAGAATAATGTGACAATACCAAGGTAACTGCTGTATTCCTTGGATATTTTTCTTTTTTGAGACAGAGTCTTGCTCTGTCGTCAGGCTGGAGCGCAGTGGTGCGATCTCGGCTCACTGCAACCTCCGCCTCCCAGGTTCAAGTGAGTCTCCTGCCTCAGCCTCCCTAGTGGCTGGGACTAGAGGCAGGTGCCACCACGCCGGGTTAATTTTTGTATTTTTTACTGGTAGAGAGGGAGTTTCACCATGTTGGCCAGAATGGCCTCAATCCCTTGACCTCGTGATCTGCCCACCTTGGCTTCCCAAAGTGCTGGGATTACAGGCGTGAGCCACTGCGTGAGCCACTGCGCCTGGCGTGAGCCACTGCGCCTGGCCAGGTATTTTTCTTTAAATAGTGTTGGCAGGATGGGAACTGGGAGAGAGGGAAAGGCTGCCTCATGATATTTGTAGTAATGGAGGAGGACAAACACCTTCTAAAGGTTGGCTACTGCCTTTAGACAGGATAACACAGCTGGCAAGTAATATAAACGCTTATACTGATTGATATCAGCCATCTAGTAAATAATAAAGGTGGGATTTGAAGCAGGCAGTCACACTCCATACCCTGTGCTCATAGCCTCAGTGCCACTCCCAGAGAGATAATTGGGTCTTGGTAGAACAGAAAGGGACAGCAAAATGAGGAGTTCATTCTTTTTGTTTGTTTGGTTTTGAGACAGGGTCTCTCCTTGTTGCCGAGGCTGGCATGCAGTGGGCTGAAGTGATCCAACCTCAGCCCCCACCCTGAGTAGTTGGCACTCCAGGCATGCACCACCTGTGTTTGTCCCATTCCTGACATGGGCATGGTAGCTCATGCCTGTAATCCCAGCACTTTGGGAAGCCAAGGCAGGTGCGGCTGATTTTTAAATTTTTTGTAGAGATGGGGTCTCAGTATGTTGTCCAGGCTGGTCTCAAACTCCTAGCCTCAAAGGAGCCACCTGCCTTGGCCTCCCAAAGTGTTAGGATTATAGGCATGTGCCACTATAGCCTCAGAATTCTTTTTTTTTTTTGTGACAGAGTCTTGCTCTGTCACCCAGACTGGAGTATAATGGCACCATCTCTGCTCACTGCAAGCTCTACCTCCCAGGTTCAAGGGATTCTCATGCCTCAGCCTCCTAAGTAGCCGAGATTATCGGTATATGCCGCCATGCCTGGCTATGTTTTTGTATTTTTAGTAGAGATGAGGTTTCACCGTATTGGCCAGGCTGGTCTTGAATTCTTGACCTCAGGTGATCTGCCCACCTCGGCTTCCCAAAGTTTCACGATTACAGGCGTGAGCCACCATGCCCAGCCTCAGAATTCATTCTTAATGGATTCCTTGAATTCCCATGAGACGTCACCAGCCTGGGACATCTCATGGGCATGTGGGCATAATAAATTTGTCTGGGCCTTATCTGCTTTTCTATGCATTTTTATTTCTATCCTTACCTTCTAAGGAAAGAGATGTGGGATAATCGGATCAAGTCATTTTGCTGCCTTCTGAGCAATGCTAATAGAAGGTTTGGGGCCGGGCACGGTGGCTCATGCCTGTAATCCCAGCACTTTGGGAGGCCAAGGTAGGTGGATCACCTGAGGTCAGGAGTTCCAGACTAGCCTGGCCAACATGGTGAAACCCTGTCTTTACTAAAAATACAAAAAATTAGCTGGGCGTGGTGGTGGGCACCTACAGTCCCAGCTACTTGGAAGGCTGAGGCAAGGAGAATTGCTTGAACCCAGGAGGTGGAGGTTGCGGTGAGCTGAGATTACACCATTGCACTTCAGCCTAGGCAATAAGAGCAAAACTCTGTCTTCAGAAACATAAAAAATAAATAAAGAAAAAAAGAACTCACACAACTCATCAACAAAAAGACAAACAATGCCAGGTGCAGTGGCTCACACCCAAAACCCAGCACTTTGGGAGGCCAAATCGGGTCAATCAATTGGGCCCAACTGTTTGATACCAGCCTAAGCAACACAGCAAGACCCCATCTCTAAAAAAAATAATAATAAAAAATAAAAAGCCAGGCGTGGTGGCATTCACCTATAATCCCAGCTATTCGGGAGGCTGAGGTGGAAGGTGGAAGGTTCACGTGAGCCCAGGACATCAAGGCTACAGTGAGCCATGATCCTCCCACTGTACTCCAGTACTCTTGACAAAGCCAGACCCTGTCTCATTTAAAAAAAAAAAAA